CCACCCGGGCACAGGAGCCATCTTCAGTACAGTGCACAGGCTTCCGGGGCTGATCCCACCCTTTTCCTAACTCCATCAAAAAGGATTCATCACCTGCCTCCCAGGACCCCAGTCTTGCAACAACAACAACGGCAGCATCTCCCTCCTTAACAGGTTTAAAGAGAAGGGGAAGCTTATGAATAGAAAACATCAAGATTGTGTCACTAGTATCCAGGAACAGAATGGATTTTAAAAAATCAGCAAGTTTATATTACCTGGGATAATATTACTACTACAGTTTAAAACATTCCCCGTAAATGTAATTCTTAAGGGGAATCACATTTTCGCTGCATTTTCAAAAAAAAGCATATTTTATGGTTTACCTGAACAATATATTTTATTCCATCTGACAGTATGAGTAATTTCATTGCACCCAATAAAATTCCCTGTTTGAAAAGCTTAAGTCAGACTTCTTGCTTTGGAGTAAGACCTACACATTCTCCACAGCAAAATGTAACTTTCGAGAAACAAAGATTTTTTTCTGGTTATTGGGGAAAACTGTTTTTATAGGGCTTCTGGTGCCAAAGAAAATTTATGAACTCCTGCAGAAAGGTGAGAGGATATGGGCTATTTCTGAGGTGATAAAAAAACATTTTATTGCCTATTCTTTTACATTAGATGCTGTTAACTTTTACCCCACGCCACAGAAGTTGACAAGGCAGAAGAAAATTCTATGCTTCACTGTGTATAGTGGTTTTTTTCCTGCCTTTTAAAAACACCAAAGATATGAAACCCACACATGCCCATTTCAAAAGAAACTGTGTAAGTATTCTCTGCTTTCTGGCTACCAGCCAGGCTATGGAAGTGAGCTATAGCCAGCAAAAATGAACAGGACTGACCAATTATTTTTCCTTCAGTTGTGCTCCTGAGACTGAGGAGAGATTTTGCATGTAAAGTTATGCTACAACTATTTCAGGTCTTTCATGGAGGTAAGGAACACTTCCAAATTTTGAAGGAAATCTAATCCAAGCCTCATCAACTGGACCCTATCTGCTCCAATGATGGGGAAAAAAGAAAGACAAAAGAGTGAGCTAACTTGACTATGTTAAAAAAGAAATCTAGTAAGGAATTTTTTTTTTTTTTAATTCTACCTATCTGTCAATCCATCTATCTATTCCACAGTCCCCCCACACTTTTGATCTCTTGTCAAAGGCAATTATGGCTGTCAAGGCAGGAAGAACTTGTCACTTTGGAGAAGACAGTCCTTTTGCAATTCTTGACTTGGTATCAACATTAAGAAGATACTCAATTTCAAGGAGAGAGTAGAAAAGGAAAAGGAAAAAATATCCAGGAAGCCTGTAGCTCTGAAGTAGTCTACAAGATTACAGTGAAAACTTTAGCACCACAAAGAGCTTTCACATTTTGTTACACATTGTTATAAAATACCCAAGCCAAAATATTTTACATACAGATTAGCTGTAGGCAATATTTTTATTAATGTAATGAAGAAAGTTATTCTCCTTGTGCTCTCTGACACTAACATTTCCTATCATGCAGAACTCCTAACTTTTTTAAACTCAAAAAAATGAGAAAAATTGGTGTGCATTTCAAAATGTGACAAAGTCAAAAAGAAAAAGTGAGCACAGAAAAATACACTGCAGCTGGCAAGCACAATGTATTAAAAATCTCAATAACTAGTTGTTAGTGATAATGCCTGAACAAGTCAACTGCATTTCACTCTTAATTTTTTGAAGTTTTACCTTTCTTCACAGTTTCTTTCTGCCAGTTTATGTAAAACAAATCATTAGCATCACCAACAAAACCACTCAAGTCATATTCTATTAAGCAGCAATCTGTGTCGTTACATATAGACAGACAGCTGCACATTTCTGTGCTCTCTGATGTAAATGTCCCAGTATTTATCTGATCAATGGAGCCACAGCTTCACTGATCTGCTTCAGAACAACAGCAGCAAAGTATTTTGGAAAAAGACTCCAGTCTTTGTTTTTTAGCTAGGAGGAAGACACTGAGCAAGAGTTCCTTAAATGCTATTAAATGCTGTCTCGGATGAGAAATTCCACTACAAACCCAGAAAAAAACAAAGAAGCTTGAATATGGCTTGCACAGTTAAAAGAAACAGAGATGAGAAAGCTTCCAGATTTCCTTATTTCTATTAGCATTGACCTACACTACAGACTCCTGATGATAAGAAGTTTGCTTGGACGGGAACTGTAGTGATCTGGTGCCTGCTCAAAGCACCTATAACGAGGGAGGAGGGTCCCAACTTTGGGAAGAACGGGTTTAACCCAGGTTCCCGCAGAGGTATCTTAAATGCTTTCCAAGGTCCCCAAAGCAACTTTCAGCACACCAAGAAGTGCAGGTACAGGCATGTCCAAAAGTCACTTTGGGGAGCACATGTGATTTTATGGGTTTGATAACATCCAGCAGTTTACTACCTACAGCAGAGGTAGATTATGATGTTGGTGGGACAGCAATCACCAATTTTCCACTCTGCTCTCTTATCTATGTAATCCATAGATTGGAAATGGACTGCCTTCCTTCAGTTACTTTCTGCTTTGAAGCACTTAGTGCAGTGGGCTCTGGTGCAGAGATTCACTAGCCTGGGAGTGAATCACCTTTCTGGACATGCTCATTCACTGTATTTTTTTCATCTCAATATAGTCAACCGATTAAAAATAAGTTCTGGAAAAGCTTTGCTTTCTTTATACAAAGAGAGGAAAGACTGCCATAATAGTATCTCAGGTGGAGCAGCAGGTCAGCAGACAGAACTGTCAGTTGTACAGATTTAATCATCAAGTGACAGTAACAACAAAAGGACCGGGTTTGGCCCAAAGTATCTGCTGCTTTCTGGGATCATCACACAGCTGGGCACAATAACATCTCTTCTTCCCAGCACTTCACGATGCAACAGCAGAGGGTGTTGCAGATCAGGTCTAAGGTGCACTGAGCAGAACTCCATGGGATTTCATACACAGCACTTGGATTTTTTTTTTTCTTCCCCCTCCCTTTCTGGCTGTTCTGTTAAGTATTTTGTAAGCATTAACATCAACTCAGAAATAACCTGAAAATAATTATAATTGGAAAAAAAAACACCAAACATGCGGATGTATGAAAAGGAGAGACTTAACACTCTGTTAAACTGTTTCCTTTCTATTCTTCCTTGTCAATAAGTGAAGGGGGAAAATAAAATTAAAGTTAAATCCTCAAGGAAAGAGATGAATCTTCAGACAAGACACAAGACTGATCTTACACATAAGATCCCAGAGGAAATCACTGTCCTGAAACAAGGGATGAAATCTCCCGCAGATACTGGAATATACACAGAGAAGAGAAAGATTATCCAGCATGTACTTCTGGGAGACTGCTTATTTCACACCTGATGATTTAAAGGGCATTGTGATGAAAATCAAGACCCTATGTGCTGTTTTTTAGCTTCTCCTACTGTAAGAGAAGTGAAAAATCTATGGTGCACAGAACAGGCGAGGAAGTCCTGTAGATTCCCGCAGAAAAGTCTAGTTATTGCAAAGAGAGCATCTTTCTATTGATCCCTTGCCTCCCTCTGTCTAACATCCCCATGGGAAAACCTTGGAGGCTGACCTGTGCAAACCTTTATGAAGGCTTCCACATGCTACAAACTCAGGTCTTTTTATTTTTGTAATTTACAAAGAAAACTGGGTACTGCTCTTATGTCAATACCATTCCAGGCTCTCCTTACATCTGTTATTGAACAAAAACAGTTCTATGGCTCTATATAGCACCACAACAAAGTAACATGCCTTCTAACAGCTGCCTTAACTGCCTTATTGCAAGCAGATAATGACCCACTGAAATCATGTTCAGAGGAGGAATGATACACTTTCCCTGTAATACCTGCATCATTGCTAAACACAACATCTTCAAAGATGCATCCTGGAACCAGGGATTGGTGGACAGTCACCCATAATTCCCAGTTACGGACAGAAACCCATAATTTCTCCAAAGTGACTAATTACTGTGACAGCTGCTCTCAGTCAAAAGCCGGTCATCAGCTGCATACATTACAAACAAAATTCAATCTTTGATTCATGTGTTTTTAATATACAACTTGGTACAAAACACACATTTCAGTGGCTGTGGGCATTTCACACTGATATGAACGCAGCCCAGTCACCAAGCAAGAAGTGAAGTTTTACCCCTCCCTGGCTCACACAATGTTGATGTTGTGAACCTCCCTGATTCACACGATGTAAGCAGGAAATCAGTTCTGCTGGAACGACATGCACAGCCCCACAGAAGCATCATATTTATTTGTTTAGCATAGGACACAAGACAACTTCTAAAGAAGTTACCAATAAATAAGTGTTGGGTGGGACGGACGGATGCAGAGAAGAGAGAACCTCCTCAGATAGACTCTGGGGTGCAAGTTAATGGGTAGATTAAGTACTCCCTGTTTTCACTTCTCTATGCAAGTCTCCCAAGTCTTCTTCCTCAGCATGCTTTGTACTTATAGTGCTGTACATAAATATGCAGCCTTATTTGTATTTCACCTAAACTCTGTTTAACTGAAGGTTCATTTCATTTCAACTCTTAGTCAAGGCTGAGGGAAAATAAATATCCTGGTACTGGACAAACTCCAAAGCATCCAGCTCCCCAAGCCATTTCTTGAAGGGTTATTTAGGTAGATCTTGCTGACACCACCTTGAGAATATCTTGACAGTATTATTTGAGGGCCGAGTATGACGGCATTAAAAGAAGAAAAAGCCACTCCAGCAGTAAATGGGAAGCTTTCTGGCATGTGGCAAGATCACTGGAGCACTAAGTGCTTGTCCAAGAACGAAAACCACAGAGTAACATTAAGAATAAAAACAGAATATGCACCCTTCCCCATCAATCAAATATACTCCCTAAAACAGAGATAAGTTTTTCCACTGACTAAACAAGAAATAAACATGTACCTTTCAGCAGCCATGCAGATTTTGCGCAAGTTTCTGTAAGAATAGCTTTTTAATAGAAAAAGTTACCTGGGTTTTTGTAGATGCTAAGCACATCCTTGAAATAATGAGGTAAGAATCTTTCTAATAAAAGCAGCACATCCTCCAACTCCTCCAGAATGCCCACAAGCAGAAAATTTTCATTAACGTTCAGCTTTGCTCTTTCAAGGGCCCATTCACCAGGCTCCCTGTATGAAATTAATGGAGGGAAAAAAGAAAGTTTAAATATGCATTTACTTCAGATATTCAAGCCAAGAACACAACTGAATCAAAAATGGTTGAGTGCTATACTTCTAACAGAACATAGAAAACCCCAATCAAACCTGAGTGGCTTACTGAGCTTTTCTGCACAACATCTAGAATTGGTTTGGCATGTAAAAACATGGTCACATTAAAAGGAGGTTGATCACCGTATGGAAGTACTCTGTTCTGAAGATATCTTTCAGCAAGTTGTTCATAAGCTCAAACTTGTGAACTCCTGTATTTCAAGTCAGAAGCATGACCCACCTCATAGGATGAACAACTTCCCTGGGTGACGAAGGTTGCTAAGGGGTGGCCGTGTCCCTGAAACACATTCAAGGGAACTGCTGCGAGCAACCACTGCCGGATGTTATCCACACTGGTGGCTACTGGACTGCTTCCCACCTTATCCTTCATTTTAACTTCTGACAAAGCCTCCAGGAGCTTCCCTTTCCCTGCCATTACCCTTGACTGCTCTGCTACAGGATTTGCATTTGTTTGCTCGGATTGATACTGGTTTCGAAGATCAGTTTAGGGTTATTCTAGCTTTTCCCCCAGTGGAAGAAGTGGGCAGGACACCAGTACATCTTTATGCTTCTGTGTTTCCTGGAAACACAATTTGGCTAGAGAAGCATACGAATCCTAAATCCCCTGGACTATCTCATAATAATTATGTCCTGGGAGCAGCATTCAGCATTGATATTGATAGGGGATATAACGCCAGTGTCCCAAACTAAAGGCAATCAGCTTTTTCACAGGGTCCAGCTGGTATGATGAACATCTCAGTCACACATGCTACCCGAGAGTGGCTGGAAATCACACCTGACTCTATTATGCTATTGCAAACTCCATGCAATTGTGAATTTAACATTTGTCAGAAGCTCTTTTGATAATATGCGGAAAACCTTATTGCCTTACACTCCTACTAGAGCAAGCTTGGAGCAGGTTTTTCATTCCCTACCCCTTTCTGTGTACTGATCCATTTTCTGGGAGAGCAGAGAGTCCTAACAAATACTATGAGCGTCCTTCTTACAGTTCCTTGTGAGACTAAGTAGCAGCTGAAGGTTCAAAGGCAGCTAGCAGACAGATCTATTAACAAGCTACAAAACACTACTTCAATATACTGCTTGGGAACCTCATACAGATATGTTATTAAAGCATTCAGGTATGTCACTGTTAATGGGATTACTCATGCACACAAGTCAAATGTGCAACCATAAGCATTTGCAAATGAGGCCAAAATACACTAAGAAAAAAATCTGTGTAATGAAAATGAAGTCCTGAATCTGCTGTGCTTCTTAATCAAAGATACGTAGAAACTGAGACACAAGAAGGAACTTACTTTCACTTGTTAGTACTGCTACAAAAAAGTATGGCTTTTGAAACACATTTTTGAAAACGTGCAGTTGTTCCACTATGGAGAAGTGGTAACAATAAATAAATAGAATACCTTGGAGTTGAACAAACCTAATAAAGAACATGCTGTGGCCAACAACACAGAAGTATTTGAAAACAATAAGTTATTTAAAATTATTCACATATTATTGCATAAAAGTTCACTATGAAGTATCAGTAATGCAGCAATATGACAATGGCATAAATAGACACATTAAAAATGAGATAGCTCAATTACAGCAGTAGAAGGCTGTGCTTTACATAGCTTTAAGCATGATTACTATTTCTTACATGGACACAGAAACCTGGAATTCCTCATATATAGACCTGATATGAGCATCTAGGCTGAGCTAAAACAGATATTACAAAACTATAGAGGAGGTAAAATGAGTAATGAGCACATACGGGCACTGCCCTTCTCACCTCGCCAACTCAGAAAACAAAAATCCACATAAATACATCCAGATTTGATGAATTTTTCAAGTATTAAATCAAGAGAAAAGAATAGTACTACATTTGCATTACCCTCCTTACTCCAAAATATATGTATGCAATTATCATATGCAGCAATTACCATATACAGCACTACATTGTACTTATTCTTTTCTCTTGTCCTTCAAGTAACTGGTGCATCTTTATTACCAGTTTTTGACACAATATTGGCAATAGCTACCACTGAACAAATTGGGATACCTTGTATATATTTACCTGCATCTTGGATGCTGTCCACAGAAATATGGTATGATGTAAAATAACCTGGGATTGGAACATTCAGGGTAGTTTTCAAGGATACAAACATTAATGTCCTGTGGGGGAGGAAAAAAAAATAGAGGTTGAATACTGCATTTGCCTTTCTCTATTAACAAGTGTTTTCTTTATCTCATACTTCACATAGTCATCTCAGAATCAAAGAATTGCGCTGAAGCTATATCAAATACCTTAAAAGTAATCTACCGGTCATTTCACTACTTCTGAATATCATTAGAAAGTTGCAGGAGGGGGAAAAGAAAAAGTTATTTTGTCCTGTAATGCAAATAACACTTTTTTTCTTGCTGGAAATAACACAATTATTATATTGAGATTACCGCATGATTTGAAGTGGGACACATGGATCATCTTTCATACTGAGTTATATTTAAAATATTCAGGAGATTATTTTCAGACTCTTCTTTCTTCTAAATACACCCTGGGGGAAACCTGAAGTAGCCAGAATAAATCAAACTGAGACAATAATTATTTTATTTATTTTTTAAATGTAAGCTGTAATTTGCACATCTTACTCTTGATATAAAAACATACATCACTTTTGATTACAATTATGTACGTTCCTCAGATGTTCACAATTGAGCCTATTGTGTAAACCCGCACTGGGAGAAGAGCTTATTAGAAAGTATTTATCATTTTCCTGATTTATTGTTCATCTAATTAGAAGGTACTTATCATTATTCAAAGACTAGGCATAGCTACTGAACCCTGAGGAACTATATTCCATTTCTAGCTTTACTCTAGTGCAATAATAAATGTAGCTGCAACCGGGATCAAACTCCACTGTCCTTATCTAGTCTAACAGACCCTTGCTCTGCAAGCAGACCCATGTCTTGTACAGGGCAAAAAACCAGAACAAGACAACATAAGCAAAGACGAAAGGATCTCATCTTTGCAAAACCAATCTTCCCTCTTATTTAAAGATACATACTTTTAAAAGGCAATGGACTTGATACACATCAATATCAAACCAATGACTAATTGAATCCACACTTCATGTGGTAAATAAAATGTGACAGAGAACACTTCAGTGGGCAACACACCCTCCGCCAGACAGAAGTGCTCAGCAGCCTGGGAGACAAGGAAAGCATCCCCTGCTCTCCCAGGACAGCGTGGGGTACAAGCCTCCAGCCGCAGCTTCTGAGACCTCAGCGCAAAAATGCTCTTCCCAGAACTTCAGCTCTCATGCCTAACTTCATTAGCATCACATTTGGGTGGATAAGCCTTTTTGAAGTACATACCTGTTTCCTCATCTGTTTTACACTTATGTAAATCAGATTGTATAAGCACATCAGAAGATCCTAGGCTGGGAAGTAAATCACATGCTGAGGAACCATCAAAGAAAACAATATAAAAATTGCCAGTAGGGATACAAACAATCCATTTCCCCTGCTCTCCCCAGTGTATTCAAGCATGCTGAGAAGGGCTTGCCTTAAATAGGTACCAGAAGATTTATGGTCAAGACTTGAATCTTGACATTCAAGGTTGTGAGCTGAAGCTAACCAGCACTCTATCCTCAATGCTGTGAGTATTACTATGAAATTTACTGGTGGCACAGTAAGGTGGCACAGGCAATGTGTCTCCCCTATTACCCCAATAGCTGTTTTTTTTTAACATGAATTTAAAATTGCAGTTCTTAAACTGCTCTTACTATAGACACCACCAGAGATGTTTTCAGGGACACACATCATCTTTTATAAGAAACTGCAGAGACTTACAATGAATTAATAAATTGCTTGGATTTAAAAAAAAATGGAAATACTGTCCTGACAATACTTTAAATTATGTCTAAGACAGCTTCTACTTGATTAATGGATTGATTAGAAGGCAGAAAAACTTTTGTAAGATCCACAAATCATTAGTAACCCCCAACCAAGAACTGTTCCTCCTTTCTCACTCCTATTATTTGAAAGAATAATGACTACAGTGAGTCAGACAACATTCCCCGAGATAAAAAAGTATCAACACCCAATCCAAAAGTGTACCAGGGACCTTCTTGTCCTTCTGAAAGCAATATTTGATTAATATGGCCAGATAAAACATCCAGACAATAAAAGCAACATACGTCCACATAGCAAATCCTACAGCTTTAACAAGCTAACAGTCTATGTTTGGTCAAAAATATATTTTTTGTATTCCTCTTCATGGTAAACTGCTGTAGGATCACTGAAACAACAGGGACTGCACTAATCTAAACTAGCAAGTGGCAATTCCCTTCAAATTTGATTTGTGAAAGAAATGCAAAATGATGGGAAAGAAAAAATCTGCCCCTGCCCCCTGTTGATGCACTCAAGGTTTAAGATAAAGGCCAGGTATGCTTTCATAGGAACTCATAATTTTTTGCCGCAAAAGAGCACACCTTTCAGGTACCTGATATCAGAAACAGCAGGTTTACTCTGTGGTGAAAGCACAGCCCCTTTTCCATCCCTGTTCACCACCAGGGAGGGTCCTGATGCCCTTGCAGCACCTGCTCACCTTTCCTTTTCCAATGTATTCATAGGTTGTGAAATAAACCACCAGCCACCATCCATCACCTCAGATGAGATTTTACTTGATAATAACTATGCAGGTCCATAAGATGTGAAATCACAGCTTTTAACCAAGAGGTAGGGCAAAAGAAAGCTTGTCCACAGGCATGCTGGTCATTACAGAACTTGAACAGAGTTGAAGGAAGCTGCTCTTCAGATGGTTGTGGGACTTATAGGAATTTCTGTTTTTTCCTGAGCACAAAAACCTAAGGTGAAATCACATTATTCTAGGGAGTGTTATTCTGTTAGCCCAAGCAACATTAATGCTACATTTCCCAGTAAGAGCATGTTTTCCCAGCAGGACACAGATCTTTCAGGGCAGAAAGGTTTTTATGTGAGACAAAAAAATTGCAAGGTGACAGATGACAGTCTTGCTTATTTAAATCACAGGAGAAGCCTTGTAAAACTTTATTCAAATGAAGGCGAAAAAGATATAAAGAAACAGAGCTACTTTTATCATACCCCTTCACAATAAAGAAAGAGGAATTTTATTTTATTCCTCAGCTTGCAGCTACAATCGACACTGCTCACACCCCGCTGGGCTTTTGTCTCCAGCAGGGCAGAGGGACGTGCTGGAACCAGCTTGGGGCTACAAGTAACAACAGAAATGATATTTCCTTTTAATAGCACTTTATTTTTTTTCTATTGTTATAATTTTGTCTGAAATGGTAAATTGGTAACGTCTGCTTCCTTCTTCTACAAAATTGTCTTTCATCTAAAAATCAGTGTGCCCTTACCTATTAATCAGTCAACAAGCCAGACTCCTGATATATCAAGAATATATCAAAGGTGTGTCATTAATATATATTTAAAAAGTTAATAACAAACAGTTTTACTTCCCATAGTTCACACATATCATAAGAGGAGGTTTGCAGGTGATTAAAAATACCTCATGGATACAATGAGGTATTTAATGCTTTCACAAAAAGAGCAAACTTTGAAGTGTTTTCTGTAACACAATAAGCAATTTACTTAAGTTAATATCTTTAACTCATTGCAAATACTGTACCATATACAAAAAGATGTGATCTTAGATTTGAGAGTTTGGGGGTTTTTTTTGCCCTCATATAAAATCCTAAGAGTACTGGAGGAAATAATAATTTTCTGTCTAGTATAAGGAAGATTTATTTTTTTTTTTAATAATTCTTGGCCTTCAAAGCACTCCCTATTTCTTGATCCTCAGTGTCTCAACCAAAAATTACAGAAACACCAGATGCTGCCATGAACGTATGGCAATTATTAGTATCCCAAACAATTTTAAATGAGGAATCATAACTCAAATACATACATGCCTTGCAAATATTTTCCCATTAATCATCCATCCATCTATGGGAAGCCAAAGAAATGACCTTTCCTTCTCTCACAATCAAAATTAAAAATACGAGTCTTTCCATGCCCTGCCCTAGTGGGATACTGCAACCCCAGTGAAACCAGGAGCCCCTGCTCACAGCCCAGCCACAGTGTATGCTCCTTATTTAAGTCTGAAGGTTGCAGATGTGAAGCTGAGGTGTGTCACGAAGGCTACAGAGGAAACAGCGACCTAAATAAATACCTTTCAAGTTTCCATAAAAGGAAATGAAATAAAACGATGTGGAAAACCAGTCAGTGAGCCCAGTCTACAGTGACCTCTCCTGCTTACAAGGCTGCTCTTCATACGCCGCTACAGTCTGCACTGCGGTGTAGTCCTCACCTTTGCCAGCCAAGGAAAATTCTTCTGCTCTGCTGAGAGCCCCCAGGAATCCTCCTGCGGCTTATAAAATGCTTTCTCACATACTTTCTCGGTGTTTGTCCTTAGGACCACGTTGCATCATACAAACTAAATACAACAACACTACAAGAAAAATCTTCCACCTTCTCTGCCCCCTGTCTCGCGAGCTCCGGGTGGCCACACAGAGACAGGGAAGAAAATGTAAACACGACGGCTCAGGAAACGGCTCACAAGTGTAAATACAAAATTAAAGAAGGAAAAGCACAACTTCCTACTTCAGAAGGCTGCAGGAAGATGTACCTTGCTCTGGAGACACTGAAAAGTCAAGATACAGTTGGAATGAAGGTTTTAAAATACAAATGTAATGTGACTTAGTGTTATTTTGGAGCACAAGTTATTTACAGATTTTTATGGAAAATAAATTACAATGCAATACTTACTTTTAGCCCTACTTAGAAAGGTTTTTACTTCATCAGGTGATATTAAATGTTTCTGTTCAATCTCAAACAAGTATTTGGGTAACCAGAGCTGCACAGCAGCAAGATGACCTGTTTCTTTCAAATTCTGGAGACATTGGGTAGCTGTTTGTGCATCTATGCTAACGGCCCCGGCAGCAGATTGCTGTGGGGTGGGCAGGTGCTGGGCATCACTTCCCAAACCAGCACTGCCAACACAGCCGAAGCCAAGTGTTTCCCAGCCCATGCTATTGTGGTGCCGAGCCCCTCCAAGGAGGGCTGCCAGGTGAGGTGGATTGTCCAGACTGGGTGGGATGATGGTTCCCTGGAGATGGCATCAAGCTGGACAA